TACCTGCTTAACCGTTCGCGCGGTACATGTTGAGGTGGTGCACTCTTTGTCAACAGTTTCATGTAAGATGGCTATTCGTCGGTTTGTGGCACGAAGAGGCGCTCCACAGAAAATTTACAGTGATAATGGCACCAATTATCGAGGAGCTGCCCGTGAGTTAGCGAATGAAATCAAGGTTACAATCATGACATTGCAGTAACGTTTACCAATGCAGAAACTGAGTGGATTTTCAATCCTCCTTCCGCTCCACATATGGGTGGAGTATGGGAGCGGAAAGTACGTTCCATTAAGGAGACTTCAATCTTTGCCACAATAATCGACTAGACGATGAAGAGTTGGTGCCCTTCTTAGCGGAAGCAGAGATGATAGTGAACTCTCATCCTCTTAAATTCGTTCTGTTGGAGGATTCGACGGAAGAAGCGATTACTCCGAACAACTTTCTCCTCATGAGCTCAAGTGGAGCGAATGCCCCTTCAAGAATTCCCATCGATGACGAGGTTTCTTTAAGAACAAACTGGAAATTGATGGAGAATCTACTAAATCAATTTTGGAAACGGTGGATTCAGGCGTATCTACCCACAATAGCCAGGAGGACCAAGTGGTTCAACGACGTTCGTCCACTACAGGATGGAGATCCAGTCGTCATTGTGGACGAAACGGTTCGCAACGGATGGTTGCGAGGTCGGGTCGTTAAGACATACCCGGGAACGGACGGTCAGGTGAGAAAGGTCGATGTTCAAACTTCGTCGGGAGTTCTACAAAGCCCAGCGATCAAAGTAGCCCTTCTGGACGTCCTAGATAGCACTAAGGCCAATCAAGGGTAAAGCATTACGGGTGGGGGTGTTGCGGAATTTGATCGATTCAGTATCTACTCAGCTCGGACGAATGTCGACTAGCAACGTCGAATATTTTTGATAGCGAACCGATGTAAACAGAATAACGCGTGCAATTACAGATAAAATATTTCTATGGAAGCACCGATAGAATTAGTTTAAACTTAACTGCAACTATTAAAATACTTGATAAATAATTTGACCCATATCATCATTAAATAACCTAACCTCAAAACTAAATAATTGGCTTGGAATTCTCACGAACCGAATTGTTACTGTTAGAAAACTAATTTGTAAGTCTAATAATTGTTATGCCAGAATGTTGAACTAAAGCTTAATATAATTACAGTCGAGTTGCGCAAAACCGAACTACGGAAATACATCGTAGTAATTTAAATACTTTGACGACAGTAATCATTTGATTTTAAATACTTTAATCGGTATTGAAAGTCATCAACATATAATTAACGTATTAATGTATTTATTGCACTTTAGAGTGTATTTAAAGCTAGGGGCATCCCACTCTACACTTCATACCTATTATCAATAAAATATTTGTAAATCCCGCGTAAGTATTCTTAGGTATTTTTAAGTATTTTAAACCATGGCTATAAATTTCCATCGAAGTAACACTTATTTTTTGATGACCGGTTGCTAGTGTATGTGTTTGTTGTTGACTTGTTGTTTTCGGTCGACTTGTATTTTTACAAATAGGAGTGTTAAGTATTTTCATTATGAGTATAAATTAGTATTATTTAAGTTATATTTTTCAGCGATTCAGCTTGTAAAAATGCTTCAAGGGCTGGTTACAAATAATAATGTTTTCAATACAAGTTTAACGGTATTTACCGATCGACTGAACTCAAAGTGTGTATTGGCTCACAAATACCCTCTCGGTGTACAAAGATGATGAGTATTGGTATATTCAGATACATGCGTGCATTAGCTGACCGGAGCAAAATTTGCGATGGCATGAGAGAGACAACTAGCACTTGTCTCTCTCTCTCTCTCTCTCTCTCTCTCTCTCTCTCTCTCTCTCTCTCTCTCTCTCTCTCTCTCTCTCTCTCTCTCTCTCTCTCTCTCTCTCTCTCTCTCTCTCTCTTTCTCTCTCTCTCTCTCTCTCTCTCTCTCTCTCTCTCTCTCTCTCTCTCTCTCTCTCTCTCTCTCTCTCTCTCTCTCTCTCTCTCTCTCTCTCTCTCTCTCTCTCTCTCTCTCTCTCTCTCTCTCTCTCTCTCTCTCTCTCTCTCTCTCCCTCTCGTACCTTCGCAAAATCTCACGTTGCGCGTGAAACATCGCTCAGGGCGGAATTCACCTTATTTCTAAACATGTTAATTACCTAGCAGTGAATCATCTGACTACGATTTTGTTTTTGTAGTATCGAGGATCTGAAGCCATGAAAACGTGTTGCAGGCCTGAGCAAATGCAGGAAGAAAAGTTTGTCGATCTACCGGGTGTTGAATGGGAATGATCGTGATTCGTTTCTGACCGGAAGGTTTTGGCCCTTTTGACTCTCCTTTTGAATTAACTACTGTATTGATTATTTTGAAAAATTAATGCAATTATTATATCACATTTAACACAACGTTTTACTTGTTTAAATTATACGTAGGAAAATAAAGAAAACTAAACCCGTTCATTTAAATAATTCTGACTATGTTGCTTATACTGTGTCCAGTGGCCTTTATGGTTTATTATCTACTGTAATAAGCATGTTCTGCGTTTAGAAGGTGGAAAGCTACGAGATCTGCGTTTCCGCAATACGCCCATATTCTCGTTTAAAATACTGTCCGGACGTAAACGAGAATATGGGTGATAGTATAGTCACATGGTTTCGTACATCCAATTATGTTCTTATCAGGCATTGTCATAATCACACAGCGAAGAACCGAGCGGAAAAAGAACAACACAAAATTCACTATTAGATTGGATACACAAATCATGGAACTCGAACGAGTAACAACAAAAGGTTTCAATGCCTATCAAAATTAATTCTTTCTGGTACATGGTGAACAGATTACACCGCAAATGGTCCAGGAAACCTATAGCTGTTCACGCTTCTAATCAAATTAATGCTAATTGTTTAACAAATTAACCAATATCCACACAAAACGCCTGACATTGGATAAACAAGCAAATCACATTGACATAGCAACCAAGCAAATAAACTAACGCTAGAAATTTTTCTTAAGTATTTTTAAGTATTTTTGGGTATCTTAGATATCACTAAGATTTTTATATGTATATTAGGAAAAATACAAAGTTTAGAGTGGGATGCCCCTAGATTTAAAGTAATGAAAGCAATAATGACAAGATTTTAAATATCTGGTCAGTAGGCTGCGTTGTATTGAAAGACTAGTGCGTGCCCCTCGGCATGTGGTCATAGTATCATTAGATAGGTGGCAAAACATCATAAGTAGCAGTTTAAGGACTTTTTTCGGTGTATCAAAAAGGAGAAAAAAGTGGTGAAAAGTTGATCTCAATATTCAAAGTTACACCCATGCACGGTGCTGATAGTTGAGTTTTTGAATGAAAATATGCCATGGTCTTAGTACTATTATGAAGGTGTCAACACATGTTCGGTAATAGTTTAACATTATTTTTTAGTGTAAAAAAGGAGGAAAATGATGGACAGCTACTCTAGCTACTCCCATTTGCGGAACTGTGAACTGGTATAAATCTTAAAATGTACCATGTTTAGGCCATAGTGCTGCTTAAAAGGTGTCAAAATACCTTTCGTAGCAGTTTTAAGCATATTTTTCAGTGTAACAAGAGGAGGAAAAAGTGGTGGAAAGTTACGGTCATTATCGAATGTTACACCCATGAACGGTACTGGTAAATGGTTTTTAGTCTGAACATATTCCATGTATATACCGTCGTACATAGTGATATTAAAATGATATCTGAAATAGATACAACGTTAAAACAGTTTTGACCTGCTAGATTTATCAAATAACCCTTTGTGCGTCATTCGTAGCTTGGTACGCCACAGTGGTTCCCCTTAGAACAAAAGTTGGCCAAAACCTCAAAATTGCTGTAAATAGGCAAAAAACAGTTGAAATAGATGTTTTTTATCTGTACGAAGAAAACTTGACAATCAAGACGTCACAAAAAGGAGTATAGTAGAACAAAAACCAATGCACAATGGTCCCAAAGCCGTATTTAGGAAGACAAATATGTTTGCGCCCAAACCGTCAGTTTTAGGAATATGGTTTATTAAGGAAAGTTGCTTCATATTTTTTGTTCAATCTTTTTATGTTCGTAAAATTAGGGTGGTCCATAAAATTGGTGAATTAAGTATACAAACTTTTTTATTCTTTGAGATAGACCAAAGCAGTGCTGTAAACAGTTGTAGAACAATCAATTCAAACCAACTTTGTTGAAGACACATTGTTTTTATCTGTTATGGTTCATGAGTTATGATTTTTTTAAACAAACAGGTTAGGGTGGCTACTAAAATCGGTTTTCTTTGAATATCTTTTCATGCGTTAATTTTTCGTAAAAACATTGTTCTGATTACATTTAGAACTTTTGAAGACGCATATTTTTGCTCAAGAAACTAGGTTACTATCTTTTTTGATTTGAAAGTTAAAGGCTATTTTCTTCGAAAAAATGGCTCTTTTCAATTGGCAATATCTCAAAATGGAGCAAACCAATTTTCAAACATTTAATTTCATTGGAAATTTTTTTTTCTTTATTATAGAGATTTTTAGCTATATGGCTAGTTCATCTCTTTATTGGAAACATCGTTTTTTCTTCATTTTTGGTAAAAAATAAACAGCAAGAGCTTTTTCTGTTTAAAGCATTTAATTTAATTTAAAAGAAGTAAGATTTTTCAGCATAACTAGCCATAACTTTTCAAATAAAACAGATATCAACTTAACAAAAATATGCGTCATAAAAAGTTCTTGAAGTGTCACGCATAAAAATTTCACGAGAAATGAACGTATAAAAATATATTTAAAGAATGCCGATTGTCTAGGGGCCACCCTAACCAGCTTGTTAAAAAAATATAACTCATGAACCATAAGAGATAGATATTGTTCGCACCCCTCCGGTGCGAATGAAAAACGATTTTCAAAAGTAGGTCTTTTGACGGACAAACTCAACTAAAATATATTCAAAATTAACAACTATTTACATTAAACAAACTTACAATCGACAACTTACAATTTAGTTTTTCAACGCCTGCAACTCCTCAATGCCAATCAACCTTCGGCGGGCTTAGCGAGGTCCTATCAATTAATTAAATAAAAGACACTGAACAACATGTCACCTTTACATAATATTTAACTTACGGTAATTGAACAGTAATACACTAAATGAAAACATATCTGCTTCCCGCGGTACAACAGTGGCGAACAATCTATGATTTCACAATATTTAAAAATCTACAAATAAACTAACAAACTACAAATTACACAACTTACTAGGTACAATAATCGGCACAAAACATATTTAGCAACAACAAAAACACATCTATCGCGATGGAGTCTATACTCTCCTGCTGGGGTAAAACAGCTGCTGGGGTAAACAAAACAAAGTAGTGCGAAAGCGATGGCCGTGTTCAGCTTATCCCACTCACTATCGCACCTCTGTGTGCATACATTCATATATGCGCCTCACTGCTACAGCGACGGCAAGAAACGTCAAAAACGGGCGCATCATTGGGGCGCGTTCACGGTAGTTATGCTACCGCAACCCTTTCAGGCCTGACTGCAACGGCAACAGATATATATTGCGTGTGTGTATGTGTGTGCGTGTTGACGTGCTTAGAAAAAGGCATTGTGAAGCTTACTACGGTATACATCGCAGATTATATAACTTAGAAACGGATATTTTCCAAAGAACACTTAACTTGTTATTCCTAATTTCAACACTTTTCGCAAAAAATAGCAAAACACATAAAAGCCTATCTGAAAGCTAATTTTTCTAGCTATCTTTTGATTACTAAGAGATAGTGGGCGGATGTGTCCGTCATATGTTTTGCTTAGTCTAAATGTGAAAAAAGTATATTTGTGCAATTTTTTTATTAGAAACCATCACTTAAAACAGCGCAGACACTCTTTTGTACCATCCATTTGATGTGAAATAAGCCGAAGAACATTTCTTCTGAAGCAACGAAGTTGATAAACACATTATTTTTTGCTATATTTGAGCAAAACAGTAACAAGAAACATTACGATTTTTTTCAAAAATGTGTGATATCGCTACACTATAACAACCATAAAAAAATATGTTATCAACAGAACTGCACAAATCATTCAATTTAAGATACTCTTAATTTGTAAAAATGATAAAAAAATATTGAATTAAAAAAATATCAACTTTAATGTTTGAGGTTTTGGCCAGCCAGGAACCACTGTGGTACGGTAGCCTTAGAGCGACCGTTTTTGCTTACTGAGCAGAAGATCGTGGGTTAGAACCCAAGCCCCTTTACATTACTTAGTTGATAGGGTTATCTTTATGTATTATAAAATTTGCTACATGTACCCCTGGAAGAAGCTCTTTCGACTTGACTACACAGTGTAGATGTAGGTTTTTTTTTATAACTTCGCAATGGGAAGGAACGATGTAAAAATGATTGTAAAATTTTTTAATAGGAACTTCTATATTATTATTACTTGATCGAATGTTTCATACTTTTCACAATTATTAGGTTTTTTGATACGAATAAACCGTATTAATTTCATAGCAAGTGTTGCAATGTTTCATAAAATACAAGAATGTTACGAGCTGCATAATTTTGCCAATTTGAACGAAACGCTACTTATATGGTACGAATTTATTTCGTAGCAGAAAACAACGAATGGTTTCGTGGGGCAAACGCACAAAAAGCATAAAAGAAATTTTATTTTCAGTGTAATTGAGGAACTACCCTCTAATAAATACTGGAAAATGGTAGAGCTTACATGTATTTTTGGCTGTAATATTTTAGTAGACATGGATCAAAATTCGACGCAAGCATTATTGATCATAGAAAAAATAAAACGTATGTAACTAACGGGAAAGCTATGCAGTGCAGCGATAAGGCATTCACCGAACGAACAGTACGCTCGAGGGTGCATAATGAATCGTGATATAATTTTCCGGTCACAGATTTTACAATTTTATTACACGTTCCTGCCGTGCATCCATAACGGTGGAAAAAATGGAAGCACCCAGCAACAACGAAGCAGGAACTCTTTTTTACTTCTTTGAAATAAAAATTAAAAACAGGAAACGGGGCCAAACCTCGGAGAACAGATGCACCAGCCAGCTGTCAGCTCGTTTTAGGAAATGATCACAGCTTGAGTCCCTTATCCACCCAATGCATTGGATTAAAGTTTCATTGAAATGAATTGAAACAGAACCGTGTATTTATGTTGCGCATTTCTGAAAATATCCACTCCAAATCCTGTTAGCAGTTCACCGGTTGGTCACATTGGGAAAAGTCCACCACTATTCATTAATTTTGCTGTTTTTATAACCCTGTTCAAAACCCATCCAAGCCGAGTGCCGCTATGTAGCACCAACTCCACAACCTGTAACTTTGTCTACAGAAAAGAACAATATGAATGTATGTGACCAAATCTGACATTCCGTGCTGCTAGAGACACAGCCATCGACAGGAGCCGGTGGCTTCAGCGAAAGCTTTGAACCAAAGTAGGAAGGAAATCCAACTTGTGAAACAATCCATACCAAAGAGACGACGGATTTTAAAACATGGATAGATCCACCTAGTTGCTCTTTTTCAACCTTTCTCAGACAATCATCATTCTCAATTTGCAATGTTCAGATCAGCGGTTTTCAACTTCGGTTGATCTATTTCCGGGTGTTAATTTTTCAATCATCTTCAGAAGTAACTCTTACGAAACGTAAGCAGCAAACGTGAGCCGATGGGCGCTTTTTTCCTGCTTGATTCCTACCAGCAGAAAGAGTGCTCTTTCAGTTTTACACTTGGCCAACCGACCGACAACCGGCGACCAACGATGGATGGCGAGGGTAAAAGCACTCTCGGTTGCGTTTTGCCGAGCTTGTACCTACTTCCCTTATGCGTCCGACGTTTTCTCCCCCAACGTTGTTGCAGTGCTGACTGCAACCCAATTCAACGCCAGTGGGTAATTGTGAATGCACTGAGCTGCATAAATTTAAATTACGCCACCCATTTCGGGTTTCTGAGGTACGATCCTAGCGGAATCCAGTGCTGGAACAGGAGGAGGCTGACGGAGTGGATGTTTTGCGCTTCGTTAACCGGACAAGCACCCTGGTAAAGGCATTCTTGTGATGGTAAAACGATTGAATTTGGGTTGGTGGATGTTTTTTTTTATTCTTCACCGGGAAAGAAAAATCGAGGATGGCTAATCAAACTCGATGAAGCTCTTGAAATTGAAATTAAATTCCCAGCCCCAGTAAATCAAATTATGGCTTTGTGGGCTTTGATTGGCATTCGGGCAATCAAGCTTTGTGCCTTGAAGGGGATCTTCTGCAAAGAAGTTCCATTTCCATGGATATTCGTTCACAAAAGTCTGCTACTTTGCTTGATTGTTACATCCTTCGCTCTCTATGATGGTTAACTACTCTGCAGAAAAAAAAATCGTTTTACAGTAGCATTCATGGCAGTTCATCACCAGCAAAGGAAAGGGGCGAAACATTCTGATAACATCCACCAAGTCAGCCGCGGCATGAGGTTTCTCTTTATGGTTTCAGACTTCATGCGATGAACCCCGGAGAGTATGTAGACTAGTCTGGAGCCATTGTTGGTTGAAGCAAAACCATAGTAGAATAGCAGCCACATCAAACACTCATCGCGCTGCAACTGCAACCACTTTTGGCCTCTGCAGGTTGTTATTATTGGTGTTATTGTTGTTGTTAACATGGACCCGTTCGGATTTTGCATAACGCAAGAGCGTGTTGGGAATAAGCTAGCTTCACATTTGAGGTCGTTTTTTTGAGGGGGTATTCAAAAATGCAATGTTTGTGTAGCGTAATATTAGAACGACCCTTTCTTAAGATACTCAGGCAGTTCCACGCCAAATAGCGAAAAAAAAACTAATTTTAGTTTTAACTCTCCGAATTCCATGAAACTTCGCATACACTTTCCCCTCGAAGAGCGCGATTAATACGTACAGCGTGAAACGAATTCGCGTAAATGGAGTACACGTAGCAAATGGGATTTGACCTAATAGGGACCAACATGGATTAATATCTCGCGATCCTGAACATATAGAAGGTTACTGTCTTGGGCAAAGTTGTTCAGTGGATCAAGAACTATAGGTTGAAGGACAGAATTTTGGAATTTTCTCACTACGCGGCGCTAGTGTGCATGAATTAATTTGTTTTTTTTTTTATATTAATTTATTTGTACAGGCTCAATCGAATAAACTTTACAGAGCCGAGTTATCATTTGCATTATACATGATTAATGTCTTAAATCTAGAGTTAAAGGAATTGAACCGATTACTCGCGGTTGTCTCGAGGTTAGTGGAGATTTACAATTTTTTGGATGGGGAAAGGGAGAAGGAGGTTTGAAATATGATTTATTATACAAATATTTAATTAATCCTAAAACATGAACTTATTTCTATTCATCTTGAAAACAAACATAAAAAAAACTACACGCACAATACACAAACTAAACACAAGGTTAATCAAACTTACAATCTAAGGTTAGTATTCTTAAAGTAAACATATATGAGTTTCATAAACTCCAGATCACGTCTAGCCAAAATATCCCGAACTGGAACATTAGGTTGTCTACCTCGAGCCCGAAGGGAATCGCACAGCTCAGATCTGACTCCACGATGCTCAGCACAAGACCAAAGGATGTGATCACAGAGATTGCTGTCTCCCAGCCCAACACGAAACAAGTGAGCGTTTAACGAATAGTGATTGGACATGAGGCGAGACATCAGACGAATGAAGTTTCGACCCACATCCAACCCCTTGAACCAAGGACTCTTCGACACCTTAGGGATGATCGAGAATAGCCATCGTCCCAAACTTCCTTCACTCCATTTATTTTGCCAGCTGGCGAGCGACTGTTGACGATAAATGAAGAAAAATTCATTGTAGGCGATTTGTCGATCGTAAATACCGCCTTGCATAGCGCCCACCTTAGCAAGTGAGTCCGCCTTCTCATTGCCCGGAATCGAGCAATGAGATGGGACCCATGCAAAGGTGATGACAAAAGATCTTAAAGATAAAGCACTCAGAAGCTCTCGTATTTTCATGAGAAAATACGAGGAATGCTTTACCGGCCTCATGGATCGAATAGCCTCGACAGAACTGAGACTATCCGTAAAAATAAAATAATGATCTGGTGCAAGTGAGGCGATCGTTTCTAGCGTATAATGTATTGCCGCCAGTTCAGCAACATATACGGAACAAGGAGCATGAAGCATTCGAGAGGCGCTATGAAATTCGTTAAAAATACCAAAACCAGCGGACGACTCTATTAGTGATCCATCTGTGAAGAACGATCTTGCGGAATCAACTTGGC